GTGATGCACCGCCTGTGACTTCTTTGAGTTGGGCATCAAATTCCATTGTGGGTGGAATGGCTGGGAATGTTGTTGCCGCGTCATGGATGGATGAGGATCCGCTTCCGCGTGTGGGTGGATGGGAGATTGCTTGCTCCGTGTGCGTTGTGTGTTGGCTGTGGGCTGTGGCTATATCCCGTTAGTGTGTGATTGATTGCTGGCGGTGTGTGCGTTTGTTGTGTGGAGGGCCGAATCCTCTCACCCGGACTGGCAGCACTGCGATGGTGTGTTTGTGATGGCTGGAGTGGAGTTGCCGGCCAGGGCGAGGGCCGTGGCGGTGCTTTTCCCGTCTGCCGTTTGTTTATTCCGTGTGTTGTGCTGCTTCTTGCTTTTTTCCTCTGTCATCCTCTCCTCCTGTGTTCCTGCGTGGAGTGGCTGAATGCTCACGGGCCATGTTGATTGTGAGTGCTTCTTGACGGCATCCATTCATCTCTCTCTCTCCGCCTCTCTGTCTGTCATTCCCCGTTGGGTGTGTGCTGACTTGGAAATAATAACGCACCCGCCGTGACTTGCCGTGTTGCTGCTCTTTTCTGTGGGCGATGGTTCTCCGTTCCGTCCCTCCCGGATTCTCTTGTACCCCACTCTCTGCGTGGTTGCTCTGCTCTGCTCCTCACTGACCTTTCTGGTGTATTGCCGCTGTTGCTGCCTTCCCCACTTCTTGAACACAGACACGCTAGGAGAGAAGGAAAACAAACGCTAAACGCTACTGTGAAATTGTAAGGCTCTGAAAGGACCAACAACACACCGCCCACACACACATATTTATATGCTCTCACGTGCTGCTGCTGTGAAGGTACCCCGCACACACAACCGTCGCGGCGTGACCGGATCCAGCGGAAGGAGGGAAGGAAGAGAGAGTGAGCCGCAGGGGCCCAACATGTCCCGGCGTGTTTGCTTCCGCGGTGCTGCTCCTTCTTGTCTTGTTGATGTGTTGCAGTGGTGGAGCTGCGACCGCTCAGGTGGGAAGTAATGCTGATGCTTCAACTCCTGGGTCGGCATTGACGGGTGCCATTGCTGGAGAGGGGAGTGCTTCAGGGGGTGTTGAGGGGCTGCAACGGGTCGATCTGTTTGTGCCGCAGACGACGCAGGTGCTGCCGAAGACGGGGACTACAGACTCAGGTCGGAGGGATCCATTTGTTTCACCCTCTCTCGTCAGTGCTGGTGGAGTAATTGCTGCTTTTGCCGAGGGTCACATGAATGCCAAAACCCCCCCCTACCGAATCAACTAAGCCGTCTTCTGATGTTGTTGCGGGGTACATCGACTCTGCGTGGAATTGGTCCACTGTTTTTGGTGAGGTCAAAAAGGAAGAATGGAGGGCACACACTGTGCTTGGTAAAGCGGAGGGAAAGGAGAGTTTGGGTGTTGTGCACCACCCCACAACAACCATGGAGGGCAATAAGGTGTTTCTTCTTGCGGGAAGCACTGCCTTGTCCCCTGTAAATGGGAGTTGGGAAGAGGGCGGCTTGGAACTAAAACTGGTTGTGGGTGAGGTCACGAATCCCACGGGCGGCGAGAAGAGTGGATGGATCAATTGGGGCGACCCCAAACCACTCCCGAATCTGATCTCTTCGGCTTCTCACAAAGGAAAATGGACGGAGTTCATTGCTTCTGGTGGCTCAGGTGTTCTGATGGAGGATGGCACCATTGTGTTTTCTCTGATGGCGATGAATGAAAAAAATGAAGTTGACGTTTACTCCATGATTATTTACTCGACGGACAACGGCAATACCTAGGTGTTCCCAGAGGGCATTTCTCCTGCGAACTGCTTTAACCCCTACATCACCGAGTGGGAGGGGTCAATTCTCATGATTGTTGATTGCGAGAATGGCCAGAGTTTGTTTGATTCGCGTGACATGGGGGCAACGTGGAAGAAGGCTATTGGGACACTCTCAGGCGTGTGGACCAATTCACAATTGGGAGTCTTTCGGGAAGACAATTTGCCTGTGGAAGCCCCTATCACCGCGACCATTGGGGGAAGGAAGGTCATGCTGTACACTTGGAAAAGGTACGCCTTGGGGGAGAAAAAGGAAAATATGTTCCATCTTTGGGTCACGGACAACAACCGCACGTTTTCTGTTGGACCCGTTGCCATGGATAATAACTTGGAACTTTTCCACGCCCTGCTGCACTCGGATGGTGCGTTGCACATTTTACAGGATGGTATTATTAAAGCAAGCAACACCATTTCACTTGTCCCACTAACGGAGGGGCTACAGATGTTCAATTACGTCTTGAAGAGTTGGGCACAGCTGGATTCCTCCTCTGAGTTGTTCACACCCACGGCGGGTCTGGTTGGTTTCATTTTCAACGCATCGTCCGATGGTGACACGTGGATCGACGATTACCTTTGCGTGAATGCAATTGTGACGAAGAATGCAATAAAGGCCAAAGATGGGTTCAAATTCACGGGGCCTGGGTCTGGGGCAGTATGGCCCGTGAGCAGCCGGGAGCATAATGGGCCGCACACCTTTGTAAGCTGTGATTTCACTATTGTGGCGACGGTGATGATCCAAATTCTTTCGAAGTTGGGCACTCCTCTACCGGGTGCGGGTCTGGATGCACCCGTCAGCACGAGCTTCATTGGGCTGTCGCACGACGCGGACGGTAGGTGGGAGACAGTGTTTTACGGAATAAAAACAGCATCGGGCAGCACTTGGGAGCCGGGGAAAAAATACCAAGTGGTGCTCATGCTGCCGGACGGCCACAGGGGATGTGTGTACGTGAATGGCGTGATTGTGGGGAGCCCAGAGACGATACGAACACCTGAGACGCGGGGGCCGAAGTCTCATTCTTCTACATTGGGGGCGACGAGGGAGACATCAACAGCAGCGATGTGACAGTGACGAAAGTCTTTCTGTACAACCGCCCACTGAGTGTCGGTGAACTAAAAATGGTCAAGAAGAGCGAAGGCTCCGTGCGTGGGGGCGTGTTGCGGGTGCTGCTGCTGCTGGGACTGTGCGGCCCTCTACGGGGCGTAACGCGGCGGGACCCCTGCCTCTAGTGGGTGCAATATGTACCTCTCCACGCAACCTCCTAAATAATTGACGTTTTGCTTGGGTGTAACTTTTATTTTATATATTTTATTCTTGGCTTGAATATCCCTTTTCCGCCTGTGCAATTATTTATTTAAAGGCGTGCTCTCCCTCCCGGGAATGCACCGCGGGGTATTTGTTTTTGCTTTATTCTATGTGATTGTTTTTTTTATATAGTGGAATATTTTGAGATTGGCGGGATGTCTTTAGCGTTTCCGTCGGTCGACGACACGTGCAGTCGGTATTGAGCTCCACGACGATGGTGCGGTGAAGAAGGGATTTAAGATGTGCAGCAACGCACCGAACGACCGAATGAAATGTGGGTGTTGTGTGGACACCAGGAGGTTGAACGTCTGACGCAAATATATCTTTACTTTTGCGGTAAGAATATACACGTGCTTTTTGTTTTTCCGCTTCACCGTGTTATTTTTCCCTTTTTTTTTGTGAGCGTGAAAAACTTCTTCAAGGGGACTGTTTTTGCGTTTTATTTTTTCTTTTTTTTTAAGTTTTTATTTCTTGTTTCTGCAAGCGTATTGTGGGTTGCCACATGTTGGGCTGCCGTGCCATCTTGAGCTTTGGCTGCCTTCTTTCTTTTCTCTTTGTCTGTCCTGTAACTCCACTGCGTGTTTTTTTTGTTTCTTCACGTGCGCGGCTCTTTTTTTTATTTGCGTGTCTGCAGACACACAGCCGCACGGCGTACATGTTGCAGTGCAGCTTGATGCTTCTCGTGCACTCGGTGCTGGCAGCTGCTGCATTCCGCGGAAATGAAAAAGAAAGATGCACTGAGAGTGCGTCGCGGCTCTCATCCCCTGTGGAAATGCTGCACGGCGTGTGGCGGTATTGCTCTGAAATGCCGCACCACCACGCACGAGGAAATGACACGGAGTGGAAGACTTCTTCTTTGTTTTGTGTCTGCTGCTGTGGGTGTGGGTGCGGCCGCGTCGGACTAGTCGGCACGATGGCCGCGGAGGGCATTGCCCACCCAACGCAGCACCGCTTCTGCCGGGCATCTTCTATCACACTGCAGCATCGTAATCGACGCCAGCAGCACGCGGCGAGGCAGCGGATGCCACCACCGCCACGAGTGCGACTGGAAGGGACACGACTGATGTTGCGTTTCGAGGGGGCGCACTGTGTGGCACAGTGGCGTGCCCAAAACCTCATCGCGGGGTCCGCGCACGACACCGGGCACTGGATGTGGGGTGTTTGCGTCAAATAGGACACCGCGGTGGAGTCTCTCCTCCCTGCAGGTGGAAGGACACCTGATTTTCTTCTTTTTCCCACCCAGGCGGATGGCTGCGCGATGACACCACAACGAGGCATTCGTTTTCACAATGGAGGAGCAATATCTGCAGGATTACGCATTGGGAATGTGAATGACAAATGCAGTATTGAAGGCAGTCCCATATTTTTTTTTTGCTGTGCGAATTGCGGGGATTTTCCATAATGCATGCAAATTGCACTTTTTTTTGTTGTGTGGGGGATTACCGTGATGCATCGCTGTCGTGGAGTTTACGATTTGGGGTTCTTGCGTGTGGCTGCTTGTGCACCGAATACTCCTCCCACTTTTGTGTTTTTCTGTCAGGTTTTATTTGCCCACTTCCTCTTGCAGAGTGTGTGCGGTGACGGCGGTGCCACAGGGGTGCGAGACCGTAGCGAGCGGGATGCGTGGGCGAACCCTCCGTGCGCACCACGTTGTTGTTATTGTTTGCTCTCTCCAACACTGTTCTGGGTGGATGGCACCCACTTGCCGTCGTTGCGGTGGTACCTGTGCATGTGGTTTTTATCGAATACTATGTGGATGAGTCTCTTGTTGTGGCTTTGATTCATGACTGTGCCTATTGCCTTTCTTTTTCTCATTCCCCTTTTTTGTTTGGTGGCCATTGTTTAGATCTAACTTAATCCAACCAAGAAAACAAGGAGAAACAATGCCTGGAAATCAAGCGTCTGCCGTACCGCAGGGGGATGTTCAGAGGAGAGCGAGGCCGGAGTCTGAGGATGTCACGGATCAACCCGCTGCGACACAAATAAGAGTGGAAGAGGTGCGGCGACCGCAGTGGACCATGAGCAGCAGCGTAAAGGATATTCTGCTGGAGGGAAGCACTCTCAGCACCAACATGAGGCTGAACGATTTCCTTCGGAATTATGTTGGCGGCAGGGTGGCCGTTGGTGAAGACTCCAATGTGACGATGCAGGTGTTTGTTCAGGAGCCGGATGCTTACGTACAAGACCAGCGGCTTCTTGGAAGAATTTTTAATTTACCAGAGTACCAAGAGCTGGAAGAAAAGAAAATACTATTGGAGGCTATTTATAAACTTCGCCACGGGGGTGTGGACTTTCTTGAGCAATGGAGGGACTATGAAGGAAAGGATACGGTCACTCCACTTGCAAGGAGAAAACTAAACGCAGTTCTCACTCAGGTACTGAGAGAAGAAAGGCGGGAGGAAGTAGAAAGGGCAAGGCGGGAAAAACAAGTAGAACTTACCCTAATTACTACGATCAGGGATGTGCTATTTAAAGGAAGAGTTCGCTTCATGGACATAAAGCTGAATGATTTTCTTACGCTGGAAATGGAAGGCAGAGGCGTTTTGCACGCCAATCGGAATGTCTTACTGAGAGATTTTTTCAGTGATCCCACGAGGTATATACCTGATGCGGGAGTATTGGGCGAAATACAGGCAACCGATGCTTATGCGAGGATGGAGGGGGATGTAAGGGAGGAAATGGATATGGGGGAAGATGTACGCAAGCTTAAACAGGCTGGTGTGTACAATTTACAAAAATGGTCCGAAGCTACTGCGCAGGTAAAAGAAAGTGTTCATGAGATCACTAAAAGTTTTTTGGATGCAGCCCTTCAGGAGGCGAATAAACCAACAATGACGAGTGCACCGATGAAACTGGAGGGATGCTACGAGTCTGTGTACAATTCGAGGTGGCATCATGTCGTGGAAGTTCCTGGCGGCGAGGGAATGGGAATGGAGGTGAGGGAGGGGGAACCAGAACAGTCATTGACGTACAGGGAATTTGATGAATCCCTCGAAAGGGATGACGCTGTGCAGCAATCCGGTGCACCACGTCCCAGACTGATGGTGCTCACCTCGGAAAAGGGATGGCCGTACTCGTGGGCGGGGAATAAACTTATTCATGACTGCTATGTGAACTTTGAGGTGGATCGAGTGTGGCAGATCGTCAAGAGCGATCTAACCGAATTGCTCAGCAGTCACCCTGGGGCCTACTTTGAGCCCAAGCGGCGTGTGCTGATTGGGACGCCCGGGATCGGGAAGTCGATGGGTGCCGGTTCTTACCTCCTCTACCAGCTGCTGCACTGCGATGCGGAGAAACTCCCTGTGGTTGTATACGTTATTGGGAGACAAGCATTCCTGTTTGACAAGACCACCCATACAATGATAAGATACATGGAGCTCTCCGCTATGGAGCATTTTTTGGCTTTTGTATCTTCCCGTGGGGTGAAGGGGTATATTATTTACGATGTGGCAAAGGGGGGTCGTAATCCGTCGGTTTTTTTTGTTCCTTCCGAATGGGGCATGCTTGTGGTGACATCACCGAACGTGGATAACTTTGAGGAATGGAGGAAGCATAAGGGAGCGGCGCCAATCATAATTAATTGTCCTGAGGAGATGGATGTGAAGGCAATGTGCTTTTGGATGAAGCAAATTCAGCCCACGGGGGAACAAGCTGAGGAACAATTGGAGGAACAAGCGAGGTACTGGGAAACGGTGGAGGAGCGCATGGATGAAGTGGGTCCGATCCCACGTTGTATCTTCGATGTGTTAGAATATGGAATTCACTTGAACGCGATTGACGCAACCGTAAAAGATATTAACGCTTCTAATGCTACGGATTACATGGGTGTGGGAAGCGGTAAAATTTGGATTGCCAAAGGTGTTTCTCACAAAATCGTGAAAGTTGTCCGAGTGCGAGAAGGACCAGGAATCGAAGTAGGCTACAACGCACCGGTCTCCCATTCGGCCAGGGTTAAGATAACTCATCATCTAACAAATATGACGCCGCCGGTCGATTTTTTCAATCTTTTGCTGCGCGGCTACGGTTATTTTCTGTGGGTTGTTTTTGAGTTTGCAGGCACGGCCGCGTTTATGAATCCGCATGCCGTGGATATAATACAAAGAAACCTCACTGAACTAAATCTAGAAGGACGACTAACGCCGCGGTCTTCGGTATTGAGCGACAACCCTCGAGGTCACCCCACCCGCAGTGAAGCATTAAAAAAATTGAGTGACAACCCCGCCAGGATGAATTTGGATTACGGGGTATTGTACCAACCGATTGTCAGAAACTTTCCGCTGGTGGATGCCCTTTTCTTCATGGAGTCACCGCGGAAGACACTGGTTGGGCTGCAGATGACGACGGCAAATGCACACCACACCCAAACCAGCACTGTGAGGCTGTTTAAGGAGCGTATGGCGAGTTATTTTAACGGTTGGGAGGAATTTTCCCGAGACTTGTCGTGGGAGATTATTTATGCACAGCACACAGACAGCACGCCCATGAGTGGCTTGCAGAAATGTAATGATTCGGCGAATTTAACAGGAGCTGAAAATCGTGAAATAGCGGCGTTCTGGGAGGAAAAGGTACACCAGTATCAAGTGACAGTAGCAGCCGAAATGTTATTGCAAAACAGGCCACCTGAAGTCAGTGATAACTAAAGAAATGGGGAAAACGAATTGGGAAAGGGGCAAATTTGATTTCTGGTAAAGAAATATTGTGAGATATATTTTTGGATACTTGTCTGTGTATATAAGTTGCGGGCGCACCAGCACAAGACGGCAGCACCACACACAAGTGTTAATAATGCTCAACGCGAGTGATGATAGCAGTGACAGAAGAAATTAAATGGGGAAAGGGAAATTTATATTTTTAGTGAAAAAAATATTTTGAGTTGTTTACTACATGTGAATGTTTGTTTTTTTATACGACATCAGTACATCATCCCCTTTGGGAGTAATACGCACAGATGCCAAAAAATTACAACGCGATATTCCTTCACAATGACAGAAAAACAAATCAGGGATGCCAGGGGCATTTTAATTAATGGTAAGAAAATATTGAAGAAGTTTTATTTATGCGAATTCCTCTGTCTGTAGACAAGACGTGATAACAGAATTGCTCTGTTATTAAGGAATTACTGTCTTTAACTGTATCGTATTGTCAATACATTTTCCTTTTTATTCTATTTTTTTCTAGGACCCATCACTAAGTGAAGCATCTTTAAGGGATGGACGACGGGTAAGTTCTATTGAGGAAACAATGCGCAATCCGTGTGACCGCATGGAGTGAGGCATCGCTTCATGGATGGATGAGGAATCGATTCCGCGCGTGGCTCTTTGGGTAATTGCTCGCTCCGTGTGCGTTGTGTGCCGGAAGCGGGCTGTGGCCGTATCCCGTTGGCCGCGAGACTGAACTGGAGGCGGTGGCGGTGTGTGTGTTGTGTGGAGGCCGTCTCGCAGTTTACGCACGCAGTGAGCCACAACCGCTGTGAAACGCCACGTCTTCTCAGTATGGAATTATTGCCGTTTTGCATTGTGTTTGGGCATATCTTTCAGTGTGTGCATAACTGCTGGGCGTGTTTTACCGGAGCGTTGGGCGCGACCATCTGCCATGGCCACAATTTGTGCGGTTGGGCGTGTGTGTGCGGGTTAGGGTTAGGGTTAGGGTTAGGGTTAGGGTTAGGGTTAGGGTTAGGGTTAGGGTTAGGGTTAGGGTTAGGGTTAGGGTTAGGGTTAGGGTTAGGGTTAGGGTTAGGGTTAGGGTTAGGGTTAGGGTTAGGGTTAGGGTTAGGGTTAGGGTTAGGGTTAGGGTTAGGGTTAGGGTTAGGGTTAGGGTTAGGGTTAGGGTTAGGGTTAGGGTTAGGGTTAGGGTTTAGGGTTAGGGTTAGGGTTAGGGTTAGGGTTAGGGTTAGGGTTAGGGTTAGGGTTAGGGTTAGGGTTAGGGTTAGGGTTAGGGTTAGGGTTAGGGTTAGGGTTAGGGTTAGGGTTAGGGTTAGGGTTACGGTTAGGGTTAGGGTT